GTCATTATATATACAGTCATTATATATACTGTCATTATATATACTGTCATTATATATACTGTCATTATATATACAGTCATTATATATACAGTCATTATATATACTGTCAGTGGTTCAGACTGACCGCAGGAGGAAGATGAAGGTCAGCGCTGTGTCCATCCTCAACTCTCTCTTCTTTCCTCTGCAGATGTCAGCACACTGCGTCAGCCTGAAGTCACTGATCAATTATTCTGCTAATAAATATTAATAAAAATGTATAGAATGAAATAAATATAATACTGATAATGATTTTAATAATAATATTAATAAAGGCTCACTGCAGTTTAAATGATCATATCTATAATCAATACGGTATCTCCTATAGTGACTAAAGTCCTCATAATGATGGTTTTTACATTCAATTAAAGTACTTTTAATTATGATTTGTAACCATTAATAAAGTCTATATTTACATTGGTTGAGCATTCAATAAAACCCATATAATGTAGATTTTCTTACTTTAAATTAAAGTGCCATTAAATGTGGTTTTATCTTAATTCAAGGTTTTTACTTTAAATTATGTCTTTTTTTATATATTTATCTCTTACATAAAAGTCCTCATATGTCTTTTTTAAAGATATACTTGTGACTAGGAAAGAACTGCTGCAATATATTAAAGAGTTCAACCTATTTGATGTATGGAGAAGTGATCACCCTAACCAGTTAACTTTATTCAGCCACCTGCCAAACATTCTCCAGAATTGATTATTTTCTAGTCTCTGCTTCTTTGGCTTCTATGGTTTCCAGAAGCTGGTATGATAGCATCATAATTTCAGATCATGCCTCAGTTTCATTAAGTTTGAATTTGTTGCAACGCCTAACTTACACCACAAGATGGCGCCTTCAGTCTTTTTGGCTCAAGGACCCAGATTTTGTGGAGTTTATTGGGGCACAAATTGATGACTATTTTGAAAATAACACAACTCAAACTTCAGCTGCTATACAGTGGAAAGCATTCAAAACCTTTTTGAGTGGCCAAATGATAAGTTTCACTAGTTCAAAACATAAAATTTGGAGGTTAGAAATGGAACAGTTAGAAA